CCAAATGAAATAAAATTAAATTCAAACTTAAATTTATTTATACAAAAAATAAATAAGAAATAAAAAAAACAAAATGGAAATATACTTAAATAAATAAATAGTTATTTGATAAATATTAAATAAATATAAATAACTAAATATTAATAACAAATTTTAATTTTATTTCTTTATTAAATGTAAATATGTAATAAATAATAAATATGAATATTATATCTATTACACATTTAATATATATATTTATAATAATATATATTTTCTATAATTATAATAAAATGAATACTTTGAAAATATTATTAACAAAAAATAATTTTAAATTAAATTTAAAATTTTATAAAATCGTTTCTAATATATAGCTATTATTATTTTCCATTATATCAATCAGAATTGCTTTACTTTCCAACCTCGCATATGAAATTTAAGTGCATATTCGAGCATGCAAGCACACATGCACAGAGTCGAGCACAGTTTGTGACGAATTGTAATACAAATGAGCCAGGGTTAGCTAACGGCTAAAGCCTTGCAAATGCAAAGGAGACAAAGAGAGGGAGAGAAGGTGCTGGAGGGCAAGGAGAGAGAAAGCGAACCCGAACCTGTTTCCCGGCACGTCGTTTAGCGCAACAACTTAATTTGCATATCAGCGCCGCCAAATTGCAGGCGGCATGCAACAGCCAAAGCAGCGAAGGCCGAAGCAGAAGGCAGCGGCGTGGGTGAAGGCCGGAGAGGAGGCAGTTTCTAAACTGAAGTGTAGGCAACTTGACTAGAAATTGTTTAGCAGCCTTTAGCAAGGCACCCAACACACATCGCACCGAGCACTTCATCAATTTGCCAATAAAGTTTTGTGAGTAGTTTTCGCAATAGTTGGCAACATTTCAATCAGGCCAGAAAACACTCAGCCCAGGGTAGGGATACGGCTAGCTCGCAGTGCAATGCTGAGCTACTTTTTGGTAGTCAGCGTAAAATTTTATGCACACGGCACAAATCGAAATCGGAATGGAAAAGGCAAAGTTGTTGCTGATTTGGCGCAAAATTAACAGGCAAAACGCGACGCGACGCGACGACGTCCAACAAAGACTTGAATAGAGCAGCAGCAGCAGCAGCAACGACAGCGGAATGTGGGCAATTAATGTGAGCAGCCCACGAGCTGGCGAGCTTCAAGAAGTTTGGGGTGAAAGCCAGCGTCGCGTCTCAAATTAAATTTGCATTTCAAATTCGCTCGTGTCCACAGCGAATCAAAGCATTTAGTTCGGGCCGAATCTATTGACAGTCGAGGGTAGGCAAAGGCACGCAAAACATAAAAAAAAAACAGAGAAGAGAATGGAAAGGAAAGAGAAACGTAAAAACTGAAAGTAAAGAAAACAAGACGCGGACAGGCAGGTGGCGGCGGGCAGTGGGTCCGGGGTGAGTCCTTGCCTTGCATATAAATCAAAATAATTTTGTTTGGTTCTGTAATTTGGTGTCTAGGAATGCGCAGCTCTGGGGGGGTCGGGGCTGGGCGCTGGCAAAATCATGAAAAGGACAAATGAAGTGAAATTTAAATGATTGCATACTTCGAGGCGTTTGCTAAACCATTTATTTTCACCTAATTGCACACTCGAGTGGACGCTGCCAGCGAGTGGAGGTCGGGGTCGAGTTTTGAGCCACTTTTACACTTGGCTTGCTGTTACCCAACATGGCTACAAAATATTTGCTGACTGACGTTTTGACATCGCCTTGCCACACACACCCACACACGCACACCCCCATTTTCGCTTCATTAGCTTGGGCGAGTGGCAACTGCGTGCGTGAATCGCCTTCTGATTAAATTTCGCACAACTCGTGTGTGTTTCTCTGTGACAATAAGCGAAAACCAATTAGAAAGCGCAGCGTTGCTGAGGGGCCAGAAGATGACTTGGGCTAGTTCCAGGGAATTCCTTGAATCATCGCAGCTTGAGTGAACACATAATTTCATGTCATAATTAACTTTAAGCCCTCCAGTATTCATATATAAAGGCAGAACTTTAAATATGCATTTTCTTTCCACATGTTGCACATATATTTAAGAGCTGTAAACTTACCTCGTCTTACTTTAACCTCTATCAAAAATTTCAAATTTGGCTACAACTAATAACTAGGCTTCATTCGAATTAAATTCTTTCATTATATTTTATAATTATAAATATGAAATATCTGAAAAAAATAATTAAAAATTTATATCTATATATATATATATATAGATATCTATATCTATGACTATATCTATATCTATATCTATATTTATATCTATATCTATATCTATATCTATATCTATATCTATATCTATATCTATATCTATATCTATATCTATATCTATATCTATATCTATATCTATATCTATATCTATATCTATATCTATATCTATATCTATATCTATATCTATATCTATATCTATATCTATATCTATATCTATATCTATATCTATATCTATATCTATATCTATATCTATATCTATATCTATATCTATATCTATATCTATATCTATATCTATATCTATATCTATATCTATATCTATATCTATATCTATATCTATATCTATATCTATATCTATATCTATATCTATATCTATATCTATAGTCTGCAGTCTGCAGTCTCTCCTTGCAGAGCATCAAGCAGTCGCTTTAGGTTTTCTTTTTCAATTCTTTCCGGTTTCTGTTGAGGACTTTTAGCTGATGCAATCATCATGTAATCATAGCTGTCACAACTTTTAACCCACATCGACTTTCATTTCTATATAGTTCTCGTTGCTGTTGTTCGTTTTGTTGTTGTTGTTGATTTTCCCGCTGTTTGACAGGCTTCAATAATTCATAATTGCCATCAAAGTTTGCTAGTTCATTTTTTTTGTTTTAATTTTTTATATAAAATTGTCAAAAATCAAGTAAACAAGTAATAAAACAAAGTGAAGCGAGAGAAAGGCTCCTCCTGTTACCCATCGATCTGGCCCAAAAACTTTAGCATAGTTTTCGCTTTAGCTGTGCCTCGACATTTTCATTTTCCTGACATATGCAGGAAATGCGTTTCCCAGCAAATCCTGCTGCCGTTGCAGCTGCAGTTACTCGGCTCTCGGTTTGAGTTTTACGGTTACGGTTTTTTGGTTATGCCGTGTGCTGTGGCTCTGTCTGTGGCTCTGGCTGTGGCTGTGGCTGTGGCAATGGCTGTGCGCCTCCTGCACAGCTCCATTAATATTTAAATTGTGTGCCGCCTCGCGACTTCTGAATCTGCGCTGCGCCACGCCTCGGTGTGTCTTGCGTGTTGCTTGCCGGCTTATTTTTTGACAGTTATCGATTCGCGCGCTCCACCCGTAGCTGCTGAGACGCTGGCGCCTTTATCTTGCACAGGCTTGCAATTCATTTCCTAAAATATGCATGCGAAAAGAGCAAAGCCAAGCCGAGCCCAGGCATGGCAGCAGCTCTGTGCGAAGCCAAGCGGCATTATTATATTGGCTACGCGCTGTCAAACTGACTGCCTTCCCACTCTGCCCCACTCTTTCTTTCTTCATGCTGCTGCTGCCTTTGCCTGAGCCTCAACTTAACACATTTTGCAATATGTACGAGTTATGCGGCATAAGCCTCGCAACTCGCATTCATTTCCTACTTTCAGCCAGTTAAAAACTTTCCCAAGTCGCTCGCTTTGTGCATGTTTAACTTTTTTTGCGCCTGTCACAGCCCGTCGGCCCCCGCCCGCCCCTACAAGGCGCAGGGCTTGTAACACATCTGCACCCTCTTTGGCTTTGATCAGCGTGCAAGTGCACATCACTCACACACACATGGATATACCACACTCTCTTGACAGCCAACAACTGAAACAACAACTCAATTAGCAAATGCCAAAAATGTAAAACTCAACGCAAATTTCAAATTTCACATTTTAACAATTTAATCGAAATTTATAGCTGCATTTATATGATGACTGAAAGAAACAGATTTTGATTGATTGATTGATTCGTTGCGCTTTGATATCTATATTTTTCTAGCAACAATTTCTGAATATTTCTATCACAAAATCATTTTATTTATTATAAATAAAGTTCTTAACATATTTAATATATTTTTTGAGCTCTTTGCTTACTCAAGATATTATCAATGTAAAATTTGAGGAACCTTCTCCTTAACCATCCTTAACCATCGTTTTCATATGGGTATTTATTATGTATAATCCAAAGAGTTCTTTGAAACTTGGCGTATCATTTGAGCGCTCTACTTTTCACGCTTCTTATGGCTCTATAGATCGCTCTTAGCTCAGGTGCTTAAAGGCATTTTTAACTCACTTGATCACCTACAAGACGAGCTCAATTTCTGTTTGCTTTGCAGCTGATTGCCTTAAAATCTATAGCTCATTCAGCTTAAACGACTCAACGACTGAGCTTGCAGGCCATTCGATAGACTATTCTATATATATTTCAAGTTCGTCACATTTAACTGCTGCAAAATGCCTTTGTTGAACTTATTCAAAATTGCTTCTAAAGCCTTTTGAAGTAACAGAAAAGCCAAGCTTATCAAATGGCACAGATATAGCTGCAATATAATATTCAAATCAATATATTATATCAACACATTTTACGTTTATTGCAATTTCTTTATCTATTGCTCCTATTTGGTCACCCCACGATCAACGCATTCTCATAACGAAATTCAAATTGGTCAGCACAAAATGTAAGTGAGTCATAAGAGTTTGGCAACTTAGTACAAATCCAGGGAAGCCCACGTTCATGTGAGTCAACAAACTAGCTCACAGCTTGGCTAAATCTAAAATTCCAAAGGCCAAAGGCAGCACAGCTTTTCGACTTCAATAAAGCTATAAATTGCAACTGATAAAAATTAATCAATCAAAAGAAGTCGATGGCATATTGATAAGAATACCTATAAATAGTTTACTCTCTCCCGCTCTCTCTCTCTCTCGCTGAGTTATCGTAAAGCACACTTGGCGTATGCGTAATAATTTGATATATAAAAAGCTTTTTCTCTGCTGGCCCAATTGCCAAACTTGTGTTTCGCTTTGGCTTTCGCTTCAGTTGAGCAGATTAAGCGAACGCGTTGAGTCGTGTTTCCCTCCATCAAAAATCAAGAAGTTTTTCACTTTATACAAAAAGCAAATGGCGCCTCATGATCGTTGCGGTGGCCCACCACGCCGTGGACCCATCATCAATGTGCAGCTCGCACCACGCTGGCCGCGTCGCCATCATCACAACAACGTTGTGGTGGTGCAGGCTCCACCGCCACCACCACGTCCAGCGCCCGTTGTTGTGGTGCAGCAGGCGCCACCACCGCCCCGTCCCGCCACCAACGTTGTCGTGGTGCAGCAGCAGCCACCACCACCACCACCAGCCTATTACCAGCCGCCACCATCAGATGGACACTATCACAATCCCCCGCCTCGCTACTAAAGCTAGAAGAAGTCGAAGACAATTTTCATGAATTTACGCAGCACAAATATTTCGTACCCATGTAGCCTGATTAGACACAGCACCTGCACACTCGATATACCTCAAAATAAAAATATATATGTCTATATATGTAACATAACTTATCAGCAAATGTGTTCAATTTCGTTATCTATGCATTAGTTCGCTATCTCTGGGCGATAAACTTAATGCCAGCTGCGACTCTGCTTGGCAAACATTGATTAGTGAGGCACTGATCGGGCATATTAACTGGCTATAGCTGACCATAAAGTTTAGCTGTGGATAGAACATGACACAGAACATGATACAGCTAATTACACAACTATAGCGAGGGCGGTTTAAGCAGTAGGCATAGAAATGACAAAAGCTAAACAAATATTCCAATGGAATTTCTGTTTCAATTTATAGTTGAGGTGCAGTAAAGTGGTAAGTAGAAAGTAGAGAGTAAATAGAGTTTATACAGAAAGTATGATTGATGATTCTCTTTATAAACTTATGCCAATATTTGCAGAGTATTTAGCTCAATAAAAAGCGAATATGCCTAGTCTAGTCTCACTCTCATGGACATATTCAAACATCTATTCACACACATAAATTAAATTTAAAATATCTATAAATTGTTGTTAGCTTTGTGCATTTCAGTAAAGTATTTATTGATTATTACTAATCAATTATTATCAATGGAAATTACTATCAGCAGTCGATAGCGAAGTCTGCTGATGATAGAACTGGAAGCTTCTTGGCTATGCAGACAGACTACTCACATTTTATCTATTAAACCTTGTTCATTTCTTGATAAGCCAATAAATTCATGACGTCAGGCCTTACAAAGTTCAGATATGCATATATGTAATACATTAATATTATAATTAAATTTATTTATTACAACATATTTCAGTAGACTTTGCTCTCAGAAAATATTATGAAAAAAGATTTTAATTAAAAATATTTAAAGAAGCTTAAATAAAAAAAGAATAAATAAGAAATATAATAAGAAATAATAATAAATAAGAATAAATTTTAAAAAACTTAATAAATTTCTATATGAGAAAATTAAAGTTAAAATTTCTTTATTAAAAAATAAATAAATTCGTATATAAATAAAATAAAATGTAATTAAAAATAAAAATGATTTTTTGTATAATACATACTAAAAATTTAATATACAAATTTTAAATTTTAATTTTTATAAATGAAATAAAAACTAAATGTTTATATCAAAAATGATATGTAAAATAAATTTTATACAATTTGCCTTCTTTTTTACAAAACTTATTTATTTTATAAAAATTTTTTTAAACAAATGTCTACTGAATTTTTTAAAATAGTTTGTTATAAAAAAAAATAGTTTTTCAAACATAAGAAAAGGCCTTTTGAATAGGCGTAGTTTATTAAAAACAAAAGAGAGCCTTTAAAATATTTTTATATAAAAACAGTTCAGAATTTGAACACAAATAAAATATATTAAATAAATGTTTTAGAAACAATTCTTAAAAGGGGAAACTACTAGACTGTTTGAGTGCTTTGACCAAATCATTGGTACAAGCCCCCCTCGGCTTATGGACTCAGTTTGCTATCAGTCGATTCTAGCCCCGTCAAGATGACTAACCATACCTGTGTGTTTATTCTTATCAACAAAACTGGAATGGAAATACGAAATAAGCTCTGAGCTGATTGATGGGCCGCAATTGCACTGGAAGTTGACTGCGAAATAGTGTTTTGCCAGCGATAGGATTTAGTAGAGAAAAAGTTGTGCTCGAGGCAGCACAGCGCAACGGGAAGAGTCATGCGGGTATACTATGAAGATTCATATCGCTGTGGCTATTATCATCGCCATAATCGCCCAAGTGAGCACCAGAACGAGAACTTCTTATAGAGGAGAGCAATAATACTATTATTCCCCCATAGATATCGAGATTGATGTTTTCTCCGGCTGGGGTGGCTCATATTATCAGGCGCCGATTGCAAGGCCCGAAGTCGTCGTAGTCAATCAGGCGCCCACCTACGTGCCCCCAGTAGCTGCTGGCCCCATGATGATGCCACAGCCATACGGCGGCATGTCCGTGGCCACCACCGGCTACTACCAGCAGCAGCAGCAGCAGACCTATCAATACCAACAGCAATATCCCCATGCCAACAATCCGCCCTATCCGCAATGGTAGACAAACTGCCCAATCGAACGACTAAAGCTCCGTGAATTATTAAAGCACATTCGAACAGAAATGAATCTATAATCTGCCATTGTCAAACATAAATATATTGAACTATTAAATATTGAAGTATTGATCTGACTTATTAATAAGCTCAACTAGCAGATCTGATAATGCTTATATTGAACTATGTCGATCCATCTGTCTGAGTTTCTGCCTCTAGAGCACACTTATTTGCTGACCTTGCATTGAGGACCCTGAAGCTAGTCAAATGTAAACACAAATCGAACTTTTTGATGCAAAATTGTAATATCATAATACAAAATATAATTTTAAGAACCAAGATTTGAATCAAGTTCCAAATTATCTTTAAAAGCTGAAGCAGCAAAAATATTTCTAACAAGAAAAGTAGCTAAATCAGGTTTCGTCTCAAACTCACTTGAAACATCAATTGAAACATTTACTCTATCTTACTCCATATATAAATATATATCAATATATATAAATATACAAAAACACTATCAATTCTGTAACATAATTTTAGGCCCAAAACATAATCCATTTACTTAGCCATATATTTTTAGAAATTTCTTTAGCTCTTCTCATATCTTTCATTCCAAGCTAATCTTTATATTTTGCTGCAACAAAATTTTTTTTATATTTTTTTATGTTTTTATATGTTTCTATTTATATTTGTTGTAATCAGTATTAGTTTGTTCGCTTTGTATACTCTATAATTATTGCATATATAGCTTAATATGCCCTTTGACCATAACATGGGCAAGGAATGCTAGCGAAAGGTATTTGATATACGCGAAACGGTAGCTACGCAGCTAATTTCCTATGTTTTGACAGCAATTTGTTATCTATCAACTTCTTAAGCTTGTGTAAAAGTGACCGACTAGAAGATACCCTGCGTGCCAAGGTGTTGGTAACATTTTAGCTCATATTTTAGGCATGTATATAGAGGAGGCGTGCCCGACTAGAATATAGATATAGAATATATATACTAGAATATATATATATAGAATATATTTTTGGCATGTATATAGGGGAGGCGTGCCCGACTAGAATATAGATTGATTTAAGCTTATATTTTTATATGCATGCAAAGTAAGATTAGTTTTAAGAGCGCATGATTGTCTTCTTCTTCTTCGCATACACCTTCTTCTTCTAATTATTTTTCTTCTTCTTTATCCACTTCTTTTTTATTCTTAATTTGCTATTCTTACATCTTACATCTTCCTCATTTAAATTCCTCATCTTCTTCTATTCTTCTTCTTTTTCTTTTTTCTTTTATCCTTTTTTTCTGTTTACAATTATCTTCTGCCGTTTCCTATCTCTGCTTTTGCTTTGTTATCTTCTTCTGCTACTTAATCTTCTGTAGCTTCTTCAGTTTCCTCCTATTTTTCTTCCTTTTCTTTCTCTTGAATTCTTCTTAACTTCTTCTTTTGCTTCGTTGTCTTCTTCTACTTAATCTTCTGCAGCTTCTTCAGTTTCCTCTTAAACTTCTTTCTTTTCTTTCTCTTGAATTCTTCTTAACTTCTTCTCTCATTTTACACCCTTGCTGTTATTCTTCTGTTTAAATTATTTTTCCTCCTCTTCCGCTTCCTCTTCTTCTTCTTCTTCGTCTTCTCAAGCCTGAGCTCAAATCCAAATTTGATCTCAGAGTACTTAAGGTAGCTCGACGTCTAGAGTTCAAATTTCTAACTTATGCTTATCGATTCAAGCCTTCAGAGTAGCGGGTGGATGGTGGAATAGAAAAGACTAGATCAGCCCAACTTATTCATCTGATCAATCATGTGTATACTTCAAGCACTCTGCCACGCCTTCTTTTGCTCGTTGCATAAATTGGATGCCAGCTAGTATACCCTGCTTGAGCAGTTTCAATGTGCTCAGAGAAGTGATTCGATTTTGGCAATGACATACGAGTACAAAAACATCGACTGTATCTTATCATGCTTTGCACCTGCTTTTAGACTAACACGCCATTTAATTGTATAAATATTATTGTTGACAATTTTTCTTTTGTGTTTTGTATCCTGAAAGGCTTAGTTATTTGAGCTGTACCGATGATATGGAAGTCAGAGGGGAAATCGTTGGGAAAGTTAGGAAATTAGATTGGCTTAATCATAAAATATATAAATAAAGAATTTGTGTGAACAAAACCCTAATTTAATGCAATGATTCACATTTCAATGTTTTCAAAATTTGTTGCAATTCGTAATTTCGGGATTTTTCGCCTCAGTTCTTTGTCCGGTCGCACTGGAAGTTGTTTATCAAATATTTATCGAAAGCATGCTAAGACCACCTGACAAGATAGTGAACTAAGCTCCCAATCACACACGGCAAAAAAAGTACCCACCTGCCAAGTGTCTGCTTAAATATGTTGAGCAGTGGCGAAAGTGGCTCAGTTAACGCAGAATTGTCAAAGCAGTCGCTACAGCCAGACCTAAGGATATTCAGAGATACATTTAGAAGGAACTATGTCTTACTACGACGACGAGCGCCGCCATCATCACCATCATCACGGACGTCCCATTGTGGAGGTGGATATTGTGCCACCACGTCTGCCCCGCCCCGTCGTAGAGATCGATGTCGGTTCGCGGTATCCCTCTTACAGACCGGAAGTTGTCGAGGTGGTCACACCGGCGGCTGTCTATCAGCCACCGCCGCCACGCCCCATCGTCGAGGTAGATGTGGTGCGACCCAGTCGACCATTCATCGAGTTCAACATCGGCGGGCGCCGTCCACGCGAGGAAGTGGTCATCGTGGAGCAACAGCGGCCCTGCTGGTAACAACCGCAAGCGGAAATCGCATTCAAATGTTAAACAGCAAAAAATAGTATTTATTTTTAATTGAAATTATATGACTAACAAAACTGAAAGTATCTATGTTATTTGTCACTCGCATAAATGTAAAAACTTTTCTAAAAGCTGTGTCTGAATGTGTTTAATATTATTAAAAGCTTTTGCCTAATGCGGCAATTGCGACAATTGCGACAATTGCTTTAATTGCATTATTTAAATATATTTATCTTAATTATCTTAAATTTGTGTTTAGCTTTAGGTTGAAAATATGTCACTAATGGCAGCAGGGCTTTTGCTTGCATCGAAAAGTATCACAAAATGATTTCATTTAACAATTAATTAACTGGATCAGGGGACAATAGTTAGAGTAAGCTCTAAACAGCTCTATATACAAATAAAAGAAAAGATTTATTAACTGCATATATACCAAAAAATATATTTAACAATTTTTTTTCATTAACTTCTAAGAGTTGCTCTTTTTAATCAATTAGCTCCTATTTTGCTAATAACTGATTCTTAGTATCAATATTTTAACCCACACATACACAGACCGAACAGGGCTTTCTATTCCCAACGCAATCCGATTGGCAGATCACTTTATGCTTAACACAATGCTTCTTTATATTTACATACATACATGCACACACAACTCCGCTCTTCTTACCGAAGGCTGTTGGGACAGCCCTTGCAGTGAACATTTATATTTATCTTCTTCTTTCACTCTATCACTCAATCCGCTTTACTCCCACAGTTCCACTCATGCTTTTGATTGGCTGACTTATTTAAGCGCACACTTGCTTTCACACTCAAACTGCATGGCGCATACGATCATCCAGTTATGAACCTACTCTAGACGTCGTTAGCTAACGAAGCTCTTCGCACTGGGTATCGACTTACACGCTCACTATGCTATTGCCGGTACACACTGTGGCACTGAGCATTAGACTTCGACTCTCTTATTACACACATACTCCAGCTGCTAGTTGACACTCTCACACTCTAATAGCATGGCGCATACAATCTTATATATATAAACATACAAGCGCAATATAAAGATTGTAATTGGCTTGGTATAATCATACTCAAGTTCAAGCTCTACGTGTTTCAATCGTACAGATTCAGCACACTGAGCATCGACTTACGACTCTCGTTAGTGTTCTGGTCTCGCTCTAACACACATGCTCCCGCTCTCGTATTTGATTGGCTATTTTTTGACATAGCTTAGTCACTGTCTGAAACTTGCAGCTCCAACTCCTCTTCTGACGTTACTGATAATCTGATTTTATCTGCTCGCCTCTAACACACAGACTCTAAATAGCCTTTATAGAAATACTCTTTTCTCCTTCTTTCAATCATGCAGACTTGGTACACTAATACTAATATACACTCTGAGATCATGCTCTACTTACGACGTAATTTATTTAATTAAATATAATTTGGAACCCAAGTGAATTCTAGGTTTAATTATGATTAGATTCCGAGGATTGATTTCGCTTCAAATTGACTTTGTTCTGAAGTTTTCTTATTATTTCTTATTATTTGACTGTGGCAGGACTTGATCTAACGCAAAACTAACTCGACTGGGGCAACAATCAGAAAGGCATTTGTTGACATAGCTCAGCACTACAACCTTGCATAACATAGATAGGAAAATCAGCTATACGAGCTTCAATGTTGTTATCGATAAGACCTTATAGATAAAACTATTGACCATCAAATTATATAAAAGAAAAGAAATACGATCAAGTTAATGAGTCTTGGATGACTCAATATGAATCTGAGCCGGGAATAGTTAGTGCTAATCGAGCTATGCCCTTAGAGACCCATGAGTCAGAGAAAGCAGCAAAGCTGACCCCAGTGGAGCATTTGCGGCGCCATGAATCACAGCAGTCGCTAAAAGGTAGCTAGATCCATCATGAAGGCATTGCTGTGATAAGATACTCAACAGGATTATAGAGTGGACTGATAAGGAGCGAGCGGTAAATACACTTTTGTGTTATAAATTGAAGAGTTGAAACTTGTTGAAGCTCAGTAACGAAACGAACGAGAAACAAGGAATATGGCCGAGATACAGCAGGTGAACATACAGTGCGAGTGCCCCCATCATCATGGACCGCTCTTTCTGCTCAAGCCGTGGGCTTGGTTTCGTCCGTGTCGTCGCTGCGAGCGCATGATGGAGCGCAATGTGGTTGTGGTGCCCACCTCGGGTGCAGCTGGCGTTACAGTTACGCCCGGCATGAGGACCCGAGCCTCGCCAATTGTCGTCTCGACAACAACGACACAAACGGTGCCAGTGCAGCAGGTGCAACAGGTGCAACAGGTGGTCACGACACAGCAAATACTGCCACCCGCATATAACGAAACGCTGATCGTCAACTGAGCCGCAGCAGAGAACTTGGAATATTTTACTTTATAAAGCTTAAAAAAACTTTTGAAATTATTTGGAAAACTAAATACATTTTTCCTTCAAATGAAATTTTTTTATTTTTACTGTTTTTTTTTTTGTTAATAAGAATTATTCAATTTATTAAAATCCTTGATAAATATTTGTAATCAATTATATTTAAGGGTTTCCGCGGGTTCCATGATCTAATATTATAATTTATTGTTCTATCTATGATACTGAAAAATATTTAGGCTTTTCTTAAAGTAGCCATACCCCTAGTGGGCCTTTCTATATACTCCTTGGTCTATCTGAATAGCAGCTAACCTTCTTGGCATCCTCAGACATATGAATAAAGATGACAAGCGCCAAGTCTCTACCTCCGTCTATGGCATCTTAAATGTTTGAATTTCTATCGATAAAGATAAGCAAATTCTCGATTTGGACTCATTCTAACAGTCTATACAATTTATAATAGGGAAACCACTGGACGAATAGATAGTACAAACTTTGAGTCCCAAGGACCAATGAGATGAACAGCCAAATGGTCGTCTTAGTTGCGTCGCATCAGGAGGCGGAGGTCACAGAAGGAGCGCCATGCCTGTGTTCTCGAAGTTGCCTTCAGAATTGATAACAGAACCTGAAGCTGATATCGAATTGAATGAGATTGAATGAGCTGCAGCGATGCTGTTATAGGGACCAGCTGGAAAGACTTATACTGAGAAATACATTTTGCGAGGCATTGATTGATTGATTGATTCATTCATTCATTCATTAGTTGATTGATTGATTGACTCATTCATTCATTCATTTATTTATAGATTGATTGATTGATTAATTGATTGATTGATTAATTGATTGATTCAGTCATTCATTTATTGATTGATTGATCGATTAATTGATCAATTGATTGATTGATTGATTCATTCATTCATTTATTGATTAATTGATTGATTAATTGATTGATTGATTGATTCAGTCGTTCATTTATTGATTGATTGATTGATTCAATCATTCATTCATTCATTTATTGATTGATTGATTGATTGATTGATTGATTGATTGATTGATTCTGTCATTCATTTATTTATTGATTGATTGATTGATCGATTGATTGATACCCGATATCTAGAGTTATGCAAAGCTCAAGCAAAGCCATCAAATCAATACACATCTAAACAAGTAACGTCATCGAATAATAGGACGTAATCATTAATAAAGAAAGATGGACAGAGATAGAGAGAGAGAAAGAGATCTCTTTTTTTTATTAATTAATATAAGACTTAAGACTTTAAAGCTTGAAGATTGTTAAACAGATCTATGATTCTACAACCATTAACCTGATGTATCCCCAGTAGATTAAACGTTATTCAATCAATCTAAAACAGTTACTTAACGCTCTTCAATCACACGGAAACTTTGGTAAATAGCAAGACTAATTGATCTCCTACCAACTCTACATTTGTCATATTAACGATTAATTCGGATCTCGATAGTTGACTGCCTGCGAGCAGAGGACAGCTGTACCAAGCCCCCAGCAGCGCTTGCTATCTCGCTCTGTCCAGTGCTCAAGTCCTCATGGCGAAACGTGCGCTGCCCACTCGCAGCGCTGAGTTCTCAAGGCCGCAGAGCTCTAGCCGTGGCCCCCACGCTGAATCATGAGGCGCCACACGACTGCTTATCATTGAATCGTCATGAATCACTGCCAACTATCGATAACACAGCTAAGAGATAACGATAACAGATAACGCTACCAAAACGCTATAAATGCAGGCAGCTGGAAGCAGCTCGACATCAGTTGGCTAACAAACACCAAGGCAAGATGACAGTGGTGCAACAGGTTCATATTCACTGCGAGTGCCATCATCGTCGTGGTCTGCTCTATGTGGTGCGCCCTTGGGCCTGGGGTCGTCCCTGCCGTCGCTGCCGTCGCTCAATGGCGCGCAATCTCGTCGTGGTGCCCGCCGCAGGTCCACCGGCTGTGACTCTGAATGGCAGCATGCGAAGAGCCTGCGCAACGCCCGTTGTGGTGACCACCACCAACCAAGCAGTGACAGTGCCACAGCAACAGCAACAGGTGACTGTGACACCAGCACAAACGGCCCTCGATTGGCAGAGCTCACAGGAAGCCTTTCCCTCCGTCTTGCCGCCCAAGTATAACAATTGCGTGGCCGTCAACTGAGGCTCAACTGTTGCATCCTGATGCACTTTTGGTTGTGACTTTGACTTTATCTCATATAAAGAAATAAATTTGCTGCTAGTTTTAAGTTATTCTTTAAGTGTTTTTGGTGTTGAGCAAATAAATAATTTGCACCTAAGTAAATTAAATTCTCTATTCGATTTTGAGTGCCCTAAACTCATGGGTAATGTGTGAGAAATTTTGGTTAAGGGCCTGAAGACATGAAATCCTAAAATAAGTAATACGAATATTGCTTTACAGCTATTTGATTCTAAGCTGGAGAGACAAAGATTCTAGCCCTATTAAAGGATTTTAGATCAGTTTCGAGCCACAAAAATAAATAAATAAAAAAATAAATAAATAACAAAATAAATAAATAAATAAATAAAATAAAAAATAAATAAATAAATAAATAAATAAATAAATAAATAAATAAATAAATAAATAAATAAATAAATAAATAAATAAATAAATAAATAAATAAATAAATAAATAAATAAATAAATAAATAAATAAATAAATAAATAAATAAATAAATAAATAAATAAATAAATAAATTTACATTATAACTTGAAGTCATTTTTCCAATTAACAAAGCCTAAAGCTCTAGTGGAAACTGCTCGACTAGGAGATACCCCGACCAAACAATTCTAATCTTCTTTGATATAAATTACTTATTTAAGAGCTTTACAACTTTGAATGGGCAACACTGCTTTATTAGATAACAATAAGCAATAAGTGATTTTTATTCAAATTGGATCGACATTTTATTATAATTATATTATATATAAATTAATTTACATAATAATAACGCTTATAAAATATTAAAATTGTTTAACAAAATATCACTATCATATACTTCGCAAGTTTATGGCGCAATGAGAATGAATTAGATTTGGCTGCATTTTTACAAATATAAGCAGAATTGGTCTATTTAAAGTAAAAATAATAACAAAGTTTTTGTCGAAGCACCAATACATTCACAGCAAGTTCCTATTTGCTGCGCTTTGTGTTCTGGCAGAGTCGTTGGACTATGTCTTCATTGTGATGCTTGCAAAAATAAATATTTCAGATTTTATTTTGACTAAAATCCTATTAAAACATAAATGTCATATCATTTTCTTTCCAGCAATGCTAATTTGTCTTATAATAAAAATTTATTTGTGTATTTAATTATACTGTAAACTTATAGAGCTCTAAATAAAACACTCGATACATTCGAAGTTTCAAGTATTTTGCCTTTTGGACAGTAGGGTCTGCCACGCCTTCTACTGACTGTTATATAAATAAAATTAGAAATAAATATTGTAGATTATAAATATATTAATGTCAATAAATCTGTGCGTTTTTAATGTCCAACAAATGTAACTAGAAATCCCCCGGGAACAGGTTGAACTGCGCGCCTCTGGCCTTATCACAACGCAAATGCGAATATGAATCACTGTGAATATCTATTGTTAACAGACAGCGAGGCTTAGTGATAGCTGATAAGGCACATGGGTGAGGTCTATAAGTATGAGACTTGAAGCGCGTTTAGCAATCAGTTACGAATATCGACTCATAGAAGTGGAATAGACACAAGGTGGAATATGGCTCAGGTGCAGCAGGTCACAATTGTGGGCTGTGAGTGCCCCCATCGCCAGGGACTGGTTGGCGCGATGTTTGGCTGGCTGTGGGGTCCGTGTGTCCAGTGTCGACGCATGATGAATGGCAATGTTATAGTCGTACCTGCTACAGGTGTGGTTGGCGTCGGCTCCTGCGTGACAACGATGCGTACAGCGCCCGTTGTGGTGTCGCGGAATACTCAATATGTGGCCATTCCCCAGCAGGTGGATCTCTCAGCACCACCGGCCTACTCGCCAGCACCACAACAGCAACAACAACGACAACAACAACAACAACAACAACGACAACAGCAACAACAACGACAACAGCAACAACAACAACAACAACAACAACAACAGCAACAACAACGACAACAACAACAACAACAGCCCAACAATTGGCAACAATCTTATCCATCGACTCTGCCACCACAGTACAGCGAAAAGGTGGCACTAAATTGATTCCGGGAAGCGCGTCAATTAATCAATCAATGTTTCAAATACATCTTCATTTTTATGAGCAATAAAATTGTAATGTGAAGCAAAAGTTTGTATAATTAAGGAATTTAGTCTAGAATTATGTTTAATAAAATGTTAATCAAGTTAAAACTGACTTCAAGTGTAAAGAATTTTATGAAAAAGTTGATTTGTTTCTGTTTGTATTCAGAAAAGAAAAGTTAAGTGCAATATTTCTTAATAATAAGTCAAGTGCTCGACCAATAGATACTCTTCTTGAAAGAGGTAAACAGAAAATCTATGTTTAAATTTATATTTATTTAAAAATAAATGAAAGCTATATATATTTATGTCGTCGGGTGAATATAATGGTATAGTGGTATTGGTGTGAGAGCTTGTATACAGTTGTGCAAATATTATCCGAGAGAGATTGCGCCTTAACTACACGCTTCTCATGTTTGTTTGTATTCGATACTTCTCACTCCAAGAGAAAGAGAGACAAAGATAGTTGTTGCGCAACCTACTCTCGGGTGTTGCTGAGAGAGAGAGAGAGCGAGCTAGCTACTTAAGCAATTCGACATTGTTACTTCTGTCAGTGGACGAATAGAACGCAGCTAGAAATGGTCAGTCTGAAAAAGCACAAAATTTTAATGAAAGCTGATTCATATATATATAATTACTTATTCGTATTATATCGTATTACACAAAATTGATATATTATTTCTATTAATATTTAATATTTTATATATATTAATAATTAACAATTTTAATTTATTTTATATGCAAATGATTTGATTTATAAATAAAAATGTAAATAAAAAAATTAATTAAATGTAAGATATTATTTATATATATTTTTTATTGCATTTATATATCTGTACTTAAATTAATGATATGAAATACTGCCCATAGCCAGCTCGAAATATCAAATTTATTTTATATAGAAAAATTTCTAATTTTATTTAGAATTTCTTAAGTTTTTTCATATAAATTTACAACGATTTTCCTTGACACTCTGAATTCCCGGCAAATGAATCAACTTCGTCCTTGGCACAATTTGTATGTAAATTACTTAATGCCCTGAGAACAGCTAGCGATAAAGATCTGTTAATATCCTTTGCCGCAAGGATAAAAACAAGCTGTTGCCATATTGATTCCTGCCGCCAGACCCGGGGCACAATAGGGACGCCTCCAAAGAGTGGGCGTCACGGGCCAACTGCCCGCTTTTTGTGTCTGAGCTGGGCGCAACCTTGAAGGTGTTAAAATAACATATTTGGTCGATTGGGAGTCGGGCTGGGGGTTGCGTTGGTTGGCAAACGAGTAGGCGTGGCACCAAATGAAATTAAAACGCGCATAAATTATATGCGGCCAAAAGGGAAGCCTTCTTCGGCTGACGTCGAGCGCCAAATCGTTGAATATGTATATTAAGACATTTTTGGCGGCCTGTTAATTTCTGGCATCAAGTTTTGCATACTTTTGTGACTGGGGCGTGGCAGAGGAGGGGGCGCCAGCTGGGAGCTTGCCTGCATAATTGCTCAATAGTGCGCAGCATTTTGCTTAAGCAATTAAGTAGATTGGAGCGGGTAACACTGATTTATGTATGTCACAGCCACGCCCACTACAATGTGTGCGTGTGTGTGTGTGTGTGTGTGTGTGCGTTGCATGCCATTTGATTAACTAAAAGTTGTTGCTGTCGGCTGCTTACTGCAACAATTTTAATTTTACGCCTTCATTTGGCTGCCATCAAGGCGCCACGCCTTAAGCCCACTTACGTGAGTTTAATAGCAAGCAGCTGCTGTCAGGCTGCATTGTGCCCAACGTAAATTAATTAAAAATTGTTTAAAACCACGCGCAACGCATCGCATCGCCTCGTGTCGTGCTTGCCACATAAAAATGCCGGGAACAAAATATGGAAAACACAAGACAGACGAGTTGAAAGACGAGGTATATTAATACCCTGTATGTAACTATAATGGGCATGACTAGAGTGAGTTGAATATGAATATGATTTATGAGGTGCGAAGTGTCTTATCTAGTAACAGTTTCTCTGTGAGCTGACAGCTCGCAGCTGATTACAGGGTATATTGGAGTTGTACACTCTTAGAGACTAGTCTATCAGTCTTACTTCTTGCGTATTCCCAGTGAAACCAGTTTCCAAAATGATATTTTCCCTTAGAGCAAGAATATAAATATTAATTATATGCAAAGATTTGTTATTTATTGATTGATTGATTGATTGACGATAAGTCTGATGGACCTAGAAGAAAGTGACATACATAAATCTCTGATTATAGCTGATTATAGTATATATAGTATACTATCATCACACATAAAGGTGATTGTTAGTGATTATGAATGATTGACTGTGATTGAATAATTGATTGATTGATTGACTCTTAGTTTGACTGCGAATCGATGTACAGCAGAATAAACGGACATATGTCTGACTGCATGTGGAGTTATCTAATCTCAGTAGTATGATAAATCAGCATGATTGATTGATTGACTGATTGAAAATAGTGAAATTTCTGTTAAAATTGTTAAATAATGGATACTCATAACTGCTACTGTGTTTGCTTGAGTGCTAGATTGACTGCTTGATTGATTGTTTGATTGACTGCTTGATTGAAGATGAGCAAACAACTAAAGAATGAAATTCCTCTAAAAACTCTTAAAAGTCTCTCGTGCTTAAAAAGTCTCTCTTGCAAGACAATCAATATGATTGATTGACTGCTAGATTGAACGCTTGTTCAACTGTTTGATTGACTGCTTGACTGCTGATCTGATTGACAATTCACAGTGTTTACCAGTCGTTAAAGCTCAATTGATTGATCTTGCAGCAAAGATAGTCAGCAAGTCGTTAAACCTTCATACGTTTCATCCAAGGTCGGTCAAAGTTTATTAGCAGAAAGTCTTAGTTTTTCCATCTGCTGCTCGCTGAAAATATGAGCTGCATTTACGTTCTGTAATCGGGAAAACTAAAAGCGTTTAATCAATGATAAATGTGTTGTCAGCCGCAGCGAAGCTGCAAGTGTTTTA